CACTCACCATCCTTATACCATCCCCAGCCTCCTAAGCTCATATTCAGGGTGCCCCAAGTTTCCGGACCAGGGTGGCTGTTCATGTTAATGGAGTTCTGACTTCTTACAGTGCCCCTGTGGACTCTAAGATAACGTCACCAAACACAGAGAAGTGGCCTTTTCCTGGTATTTGTTTACCTGCAAACAACTTCTACCAGCTCTTCTGTGTCCCCTTATTCACCCTGTCCTGGCCACTGGGGACATGAGGAGCTAGCCCTGTCTTCAGGCTTCGCTGGAGCTGGAACAGTCGCATTTTTGTCCCCAAAAGGTGCAGCCTAGTGTCCCCGGGGACACTGGCCTCTGCTTGAGTATATCTGGGAGGTTCCTACTCCTTCACATGCAGCCAGAGAGAAACTTCTGAAGAGACACTTAAGCTCACACTCTCCTCAACAGCCTTCAGTGGCTCCCCATTATCCCAGGATGAGGTGGAAGTCCCTCAAAGCCATATATGATTGCCTTCAGCCTCTAGCCTCAAACACACCCACTGTCCTCCCACCTCCCTCCCTTGAGAGTGCTCCTTCACCAGATGCCCCTGCCCTCCTCTCTAGTGAAACACACTGTTCTCTGCACCCTTTATTTAACAGCCTGGCTGGGATGCTTTCTTGTCCCCATGCCTTCTCCCCTGTACTCTGCAGAAGTAACCCCTGGGCAGGACAAGTGGGAAATCCCCTGGAGGGGAAGAAGATGATGATTCGGGCAGAGGGACAGGCCAGCGCAAAGGCACAAAAGCAGGCAAGGGCCCCACACTGTGGGGAAGTGATGAGGGGGAAGGTTCAGCCAAGGAGAGTTACCCTACTTGCCCACCCACAATACGTGGGTTCTGCTTCCCTCTTACCCCCCAAGTTCCAGGTGTGTCCTTGGAGCCTGGGGAGCCTGCCAGAGAAACAAATCCTCCTGCGGAGAGTGCAGGGATCACCAGGCTGCCCCTTCCCAGCACACCCCCAGGGGGAGCCCCTCCCATCAGGAACGAGAGGCAGAGGGCAAGGTAAAGCAGGAGAAGGCAAAGCAGGAGGAAGGGAGAGGGGGACCCCCCAGAGCAGACTGGACCAATCCATAGGGCAGGGCTGGAAAGTCGGGACCTCTGGGACAGTGACTGTTGCTGCAGAATTTCAGCAGTTGGGGGCCACAAAGGAGGGGCTCCGCTCTGCCTTCGCCTCTATGCTCAGCCCTCCTCCTGCCCCCATCTCTCTTTGGGACGTCCTCTATCCCTATGTCCAGGTGCACCATTTCCTTTCTTTTTGCTCACGAGGTCTCTCTTTTTCCTCGAGTTCTCCACCTCCTTTACTCGGCCTCCGCCGAGCCCCGTCGCCTCTTCGGTGGGACGGAGCACAGCTTGGGGGATTACCCGAATCTCGATCTCCCTGGTGGCTCACCTTTTTCGGCGATGGCGCCAAGAAGGAGTTGGCGTCGGAGACCTTTTTAAGCAATATTTGGCCTCCCCGTTCCTTCCCGATCTCTCGATTCCCAAACCCGAGCCTCCGCCCACCTTTGAGCAGCTCCACTGGGCGCATCTCGAAAGGAATGCGGTTCTTCTTGGCGAAGATGTAGACGGCGCGACAGGGCTGGGACAGCAGGTCCAAGTAAAGCTCCAGGCCCATGGCGGGGCGGAAAGACCAGGCTCGAGACCCAAGGGACCTGCAAACGCCAAGCTGCCGGGGAACGCATACACGGTCCTCGCGGCCACGCCCCACTGGCCGCCGCTCCCCATTGGGCAGCTCCGGGCACCCGGCACTTTGGTCCAATGGCTGCGCGGCCACGGGACTGTCCGAAGAGTCAGGAACATTAGCGCTCCACCCGCTGGCGGGGGGATGACGCGATGGTCGTCCCTCGGAGGGCCCTTTGTGACCGTCTTATTTCACTCACCACTTTGCAAGTTCTTAGCCCCATGCTCCAGAGATCGCGATGCTAGCAAATGGCACAGCCTCAGGGCTTCTGTTTAGCATTTTGTGGTAACTCACTCTGCTCGGATTGTACTCCCTGTCCTTGGTCCTCCCGCTCCCACCAGCACAGTGTCTCGCATTGCCTGAATTTGTTTCTTCCCTCTTTCAAAGCATGGGGAGAGATCTAGCAATCCCACTTCTGGGCATATATTAAAATGAAATGGAAACAGGCTAGGAAAGCGATATTTGCTCACCCACGTTGACTGCGGCATTATTCACAGCAGCCAAGATACAGAAACAACTAAGTGTCCATCAAGAGATGAATGGATAAAGAACATGTGTACATACACAATGAAATAGTATTCAGCCACGAGAGAGAAATCCTGCCACTTGTGACCATCTGAATGGACCTCGAGGGCATTATGCTGAGTGAGGGAAGTCAGACAGAGAAAGAGAGACATATATATATATATATATATATGTATATAAAACCATCCTTACATGCAAAATCTTAAAAAAAGCCAAACTCACAAAAAACAAAGTCGAATAGTGGTTACCAGGGCCTGACGGTGGGAAAACTGGAAAGATGTGTAAGGGTACACACTTGCAAGTAGAAGAGAAATAAGTTGTGGAGATCTATCACAACATAATGACTATTAGTCAACAATGTTAACAACATTAGTTGTCAACAACTGTATTACAATTTCAAAGTTGCTGAGAGACTAGATCTTAATTGTTCTTCCTACAAAAAAAGAAATGATAATCAGGAGACATTATAGAGGTGTTAGCTCATATTACAATATACAAATGCATCAAATCAACATGTTGCACATCTTAAACTTCCACAGTGTTATATGTCAATTATATCTCAATAAGAAATAAACAGGTAGGTAGGTAAATAGATAGATAGGTAGGTAGATAGATAGATAGATAGATAGATAAAATAATGGCGAGCCTAGAGCCCTACAGGGCCCTTACAAGTCATCACCGCTAGACACACCTGGTGAGCCTGGATTTCAGGCCTGTTTCTTGCTACTCAGGAGTCCCTTAGAGTCTGCCACCTGGCTGGATAAGTGTTGTCAGTGTCACCTCCTAAAACAAGTCCAACTGAAAAATGCACCTGCAAGAACATAAGGTTTTCTACATAGAAAAGGAAGATTTCTGTGAAGAAAGGAAATGTTGGTAATAATGATTTTTAACAGAGAGGAAAAGGGTTTTTTTAATGTTTATTTAATTTTTTGAGGCAGAGACAGACAGAGCACGAGCTGGGGAGGGGCAGAGAGAGAGGGAGACACAGAATCTGAAACAGGCTCCAGGCTCTGAGCTGTCAGCACAGAGCCTATCATGGGGCTCGAATCCACGGACTGTGAGATCATGACCTGAGCCGAGTCGGATGCTTAACCAACTGAGCCACCCGGGCGCCCCGAAAAAGGTTTTTTTTAATTTTTCTTTTTTAGACAGAGAGAGTGCACATGAGGTGGGGGAGGGGGGAGAGAGAGAGACAGAAAGAGAGAGGGAGAGAGAGAGGGAATCTTAAGCAGGTTCCACACTCAGTATGGAGCCTGACATGGGGCTCGATCACATGACTCTGGGATCATGACCTAAGCCAAAATCAAGAGTCAGACGCTAAACTGACCAAGCCACCCAGGTACCCCTAGCTGAAAAAAAAAAACACATTTTTTGAGGAAGGATGAGAATTTCAGATTTCAGATATTGAAGTCTGAAAAAGGAGCTAGACACTCAGATGAGGCAACAGATAGTTACCCGATGCCTACTTTCCACTGACCCCACTCAGCACTCCTAGAGGAGCTGGCCGGGATCCTTTTTAGGGCTCAGCCTCAATCTTGAAGGTTCAAAATCCACTTTGGTCCATATTCAGGATTAATCCTTTTCTTTGGGTCTGACTCATGTAACCCAACTCAGAAGAGATTGATGAATTCATTATTCTATAGAAAAGGAGATAAAGGCTATTTATTTGTTTATGTTTTATTTAGTTTTGAGAGAAAGAGACAAAGTATGAGTGGGAGAGGGGCAGAGAGAGAGGGAGAGAGAGAATCCCAAGTGGGCTCCTCAGTGAGAAACTCAATGTGGGGCTCAGTCTCACGAGCCATGAGATCATGACCTGAGAGAGATTCAAGAATTGAATGCTTAACTGAATGAGCCACCCAGGTACCTCTCCTGTTATTTTCCAATTTTGCTCCATTGTGTTCCCAAGAACACACATGCTATGACTTCAATCTGTTTAAATTTATTGAGATTTATTTTGTGACCTGACATATGGTCTATCCTGGAGAATATTCCATGTGCACTTAAGAAGAATGTGTATTCTGGGGCACCTGGCTGGCTCAGTTGGAAGAGCATGCAACTCTTGATCTCGAGGTCATGAATTCAAGCCCCACAATGGGTATAGAGATTACTAAACAAAATAAACTTAAAAAAAAAAAAAAGAATGTGTATTCTGTGGTCATTGGTGAAGTGTTCCACATATATATCTGGTAGGTCCATTGGTTTATAGCATCATTCAAGTCCTCTATTTCCTTGATGATTTTCTGTCCTATTATTTTATCCATTATTGAAAGTGGAATATTGAAGTCATCAATTATTATTGACAGTTTAATCATGTTTATTTTTTTATTTTTTTAAAAAATGTTTATTTATTTTTGAGAGATAGAGCATGAGCGGAAAAGTGATAGAGAGAGGGAGACACAGAATCTGAAGTAGGCAACAGGATCTGAGCTGTCAGCACAGAGCCTGTCATGGGGCTCGAATTCATGAATGTGAGATCATGACCTGGGTTGAAGTCAGATGCTTAACTGACTGAGCCACCCATGTGCCCCTAATCATGTTTATTTTTTAAGTTATATTAAATCCAGTTGATATTTTTCTTAAAGTAAGCTCTATGCCCAACATGGGGCTCAAACTTACAACGCTGAGATCAAGTGTCACATGCTCTACCAACTGAGCCAGAAGGGTAGCCTTAATCATTTTTAACCTTTAGTTTTTAAACTCTTTTTGGAACCCGGGAGGATTCATGACCACCACCTTCTCTCACACCAACTGTCTCAGGTCCAGCAGCCATGGTGGTTGTTACAGCACTTTATTATGCCAAGAAATGGAGTTGTTTTCAACATTTCCCCTAAGGAAAGATCAACTCAAAGGGCTGAGCCAGCCAGGCCCTGCAGGATGGGCTGCTTCTACATGAACTTCTGCAGCAACTCACAGATCCTCTCCTTGACCATTGGATCCAATGTTGAACAGTCCCACTCAGCCAACTTCATCAGCCGGTCATGGGCCTCCCAGAAGAGGTTAGAGCCAATGGCCAGCTCCACCCTCATGCGCCACTCAGCTATCTTGGGGCTATTGAGGAAGACATTATAGTTGCCTCCCATGGGCTGTAGATAGACAAAGAGGAAGGAATGATCAGCCAGGGGGCCAGCCTTACCTAGGTCCTCTTCTACAGCCTCAGGGTCTCTCCCTATCTGCCTCTGCAAAGAGTGAGTCTGTGACTCATCCCACTCCCAGGCCTGGGCAAGAGGTCATATGCTATATGATAGATGTGGGGTGGCAATTGGAAGATCAGAATCTACAGGGTTCTTGGTCACTGGTCTTGCTCCATGGTTCCTGAAGGCCTCTCTGAGGTGACACCTGGCCCAGATGGCTCCCACTTTTTAGTGAGAAGCCTCCCATGGACCCTGCCTTCTACCAAGGAAATCCCTTATTCTCAGATGAGGGTGGGAAGAATTCAATTCTTTTTCCTCCACATCAATCCTTCCTCTGTGATCAGGTGCAGGGTCTGGAATGGGAGATCCAGCAGGTAGTCTAAGAAACATGCACCCAAGAAGCTTGCGGGCTCCAAAATGGGGTGGGGTGGGTGAAATGTAAGGTGTAGGGTTTGAAATGTAGGGGACCAGACTACCTGGGACAGAAAAACTAAAATGGTTTTCCTTGGTGCTGATCTGCACACTGACCATGGACCAAAGTGGATACTTTGCATACTGGCCAGAGATTGCGTTAGTCTCTCAAGACATTGGCCAGGGTCTAAACTGCCCATCCTGCACACCAGCTAGGTCAGAACTGGCCACCCTCTCCTGCATGTAGAAATCACATAAATGTCCCACACCTGGTGGGTCTCCAAAAGGACCGTGAATGCCCCTCAGACCCAGAACCAGGGAGCTTCCTTGTATACTCTATGTCTGGTGCTCTAGAAAAGAGGCATTCATCCAGAAGGACACGTTGGAGGCCTCTGGACACTTCCTGGAGAATCCAGAAGGAGGCGGAGGCATCCATGATCCTGGCTGACTAACTGAGAAATGTGTTCTTCTCCCTATCCCAGGCCTGCCCTCCAGCTCCTGCCCATGCTGAAAATGCATCGTGAAGCATGGATAATCGTGATTGGCTTTGGTTCAAAATCTCCTGTGCTTGCTGTTACTCCAGGTCAGGTCTAGGCACCTGGCTCCCCACTGTCTCTCCCTTCAGCAGCTTAACCTCAAGCTATGGACCCTGTGGTCACAGAGGAGTCCTACCTCACCCAGGCTGTGTTCCTATCCCACTCCACACCTGCATCATCTCCACCAGCGCCACCACATCAGCCAGTGAGATGTGGTTCCCAGTGATGAACATCTTGTCTTGCAGAAACTTCTCCTCAAAGAGCTGCATGCTGTTCTTCACCTCTGCCAGCATCTGCTCTGCCTTCTCAGCTGGAACCTCCTCACCAGTGATCATTGGGATCAGCATCTGGCCAGGATGGGGGAGAGGAGGGAAGAGGAGGCCACACCCTAGTCCCATCTGACCTGCCAGTCTTCAGCATCCTTGTTGGCTAGAGAGGTGTTGGACAGAGCCAAGGATGTAAAATAGGTTCACCTCTTTTAGCAGTTCTGGTTGGTAGAGGTTACCTGGGGCCATTGTTTAGGAAGATTTTGAAATCCCAGCAGGATGGAATCTTGTGATTGATTAGTGATGTCTGTTACGGACATGAGATAAGAAGTAAGGGTACATATATATACAGTAGTTAGTGGTCATCTTCAAATTTGGTGGTCTCTCTGGGACCCTCAACCATGATGTTCTCTAGTTCAGAATAAAATTTCTTGAATCCTATCCAGCTTGAGTAATATCAACCCCTCCTGGGTACCCTTCCCCTTGTCTTTATAAGGCTTTTTCACACCCAGTAGTTCATTCCACACTCCCATCAGCTCTATAAGGCAGGCAGGAAAGGGGGCCAAGGAAATGAGGCTCAGGAAGGAAGGGAGACTTTCTTGAATTCACTAGTGGTCAGCCCTAGCCTTGACCCCACTCACCTTGATCCAGAGAACCTTGCTCATGGGCATCTGAATGGCAGTGTGCTGCCAGGCCAAGAACTCATCCACACGGGCACGTGTGTGCAAGTCTGGTGGGTACCAGTGTGAGGGTGTGCTGTACTTGCGGCACAGGTAGAAAAGGATGGCCACGCTGCAGAAAGGAAAAGTTGGGGGCACTGTTCTTGCCTTCCCCGATATTGCAACACCCACCACCCCAGCATGGCTGGGGCTCAGTGTGGGGCCTCCAGCCACAGGCAGGCTCTAGGCACTGACATTTTTCTGGGGGAAAGATGAGCCCAAAGGGTACCAGGAAAGTCAGTCAGTCTGTCAGGCAGTGAGTGCCCGGAGGTAGACCAGCACGGTGGATGGTATCTGATGGATGGCATCAGGAAGGGCAGTCTAGATGGAAAACAACATGTATGGGAATTCAGGGGTAAGAGGTGGCCATACTCTGTCTCTGTCTCTGTCTCTCTCTCTCTCTCAAAAATAAATAAACATTAAAAAGGGGGGGGGGGCGCATGGGTGGCTTAGTTGATTGAGTATCTGACTTTGGCCCAAGTCATGATCTCACAGTTCATGAGTTCAAGCCCACAGGATCCCATCTGACAGCACAAAGCCCACTTCAGATCCTCTATACCCCCCTCCCTGGTCCTCCCCTACTTGTGCTCTCTCTCAAAAATAAATAAACATTTAAAAATATGTATTTAAAAAAAGAGGGGCACCTGGGTGGCTCAGTCAGTTGAGTGTCTGATTCTTGATTTTCACTCAAGTCATGATCTCACAGTTTGTGGGTTCTAGCCCCGGGTCGGGCTCTGCACTGACAGTGCAGAGCCTGCTTGGGATTCCCTCTCCCTCTCTCTCTCTGCCCCTCCTGTGCGTTCTCCCTCTCTCTGTCTCTCTCAAAATAAAGAAATGTAAAAGAAAGAAAAAAAGAAACAAGATAACTCTGGTACTTGGGTGGAGGGGTCCTGAGGAGGACTGGGGCTGCAGGGATGCAGGGAGGGTACAGCCTGGAGGCACAATTTGGAGGGGCAGTCTTGCTCTTGGCTGGTGGGGGGCAGGAAGGGAGGAACTCAGGACGGGCACAGGTGTTTGAGGTGTTTAGAACATCTGGGGCCCCAGAGAGTCCTGAGCCAGGTTCTGATATGACATCAAAGTCCAAGAAGCAGGTGCCTGCCCCTGTGTCCCTCCAGCCCACTGCAGAGTCAGCAGGTAAGCAGGGGGCAGTGGTAGGAGAGGGGAGAAGAAAGGAAGGAACAGCCTGGGAAGGAGGAGGGAGGCCCCAGAGGAACAACTGTCTAAGAAGTGGGGAAATATCCAGAAGGGAAATCCTAAATCCTGAATCATCTCAGTTGATCTCACAATAACCCTATAAGGTGGGTACCAGTATGCTTTCATTTGAGGAAACTGAGGCTCAGAGATACAAGGAACTGGGCAAAGACACATAGCCTGAGGCTACCAGAACCCAGGCAACAGGCCTGGAACAGGGCTTTTCCAGCTCCTTCAGAGGGATTTTGACGTCTAGCCCCCAGAAATGCAGTACATTTCTGTTGTTCTAAGTCATTTAGTCAGTGGTAATTTTTTACAGCAGCCATAGGAAAATCATCCAGGCCTGGGGCCACCCAAGGGCCATGGTCCTTGGAAGATATGCTTCACAGTGATGAGACCATCTCTGAAGCTTTCTGAAAAACAATCAACCCCCTAATCTTACCAAACCTGTACTTCCAATGACCGATTTACAAGATACGAAGGGACAGAAAAACATGACGCCATGAGAACATAATCAGCAAAACTCAGACTGTGGGAAACTCCTCAGGACACAGGATGCGGTTTCTTCAACCACACCAAAGATGTAAAGGCAGGGAGCACCTGTGTGGCTCAGTCAGTTAAGCATCTGCCTTTGGCTCAGGTCATGCCCTCACATTTGTGGGTTCGAGCCCCACACTGGGCTTTCAGCTGTCAGCACGGAGCCTGCTTCCAGTCTTCTGTTGCCCTCTCTCACTACCCTTCCCCCACTCGTCCTCTCTCTTTCTCAAACATAAATAAACATTTTTTAAAAAGTATTTTAAAAATGCAAAGGCAAAAGGTGGGGCATGGAGGGGACTACCAGCTGCGATACTTGTAGTTTACTTGGAGCTGGATACAAATGCACAAGCTACAGAGAAAATATGGATAATCAGTGACTTTTGAATAGAACAGGGCATTGGTTGAAATCCAGGGATTATTGTAGTTGCTTTTAAAAATTAATTAATTAGGGGGTTTTCTGAGAGAGAGAGAGAGAGGGAGAGAGCTCGTGAGCAAGGGAGAAGGACAGAGGGAAAGAGAGAGAAAGAGAAAGAGAGAATCCCAAGCTGGATCCAGACCCAGCACAGAGCCAGACACGGGTTTGGATCCCACAACCCTGGGATCACGACCTGAGCAGAAATCAAGAGTCAGACGCTCATTGATTGAGCCACCCAGGCGCTCCCAGGGATTAGTGTTAATTTTTTATAAGATGTCACCAAAGTATTGTGGCGATGCTTTTTTTTTTTTTTTTTTTTTTTTTTTTTTTTTTTTTTTTTTTTTTTTTTTTTTTTTTTTTTTTTTTTTTTTTTTTTTTTTTTTTTTNTTTTTTTTTTTTTTTTTTTTTTTTTTTTTTTTTTTTTAATTGAGCCCTTATCTCTTATCTGGCAGGCAAGGCAATAGAGAGGAATAGAGCGGGTTGGTTACAGGTGATGCAAAATGGGCTCCCCTAGTGGACCGCTGTTGGAACTGTGTGATGGGTATCCTGTGGAGGTTGTTATATCCCTCTTTAGTTAGTATTTATTCTACTTTGATGTACATATAAAATGTTTCATAGTAAATAAAAAATAAGTACTAGTAGGTCGGCTTCACATAAACCTCCGAGGAGGAGCAGAGAGAGATGGGGGCAGGGGTGGGCAGGGAAGACTTACCTTTCAGATAAGACAAACTTTCCTTCTTTGAGGCTGGGTAGCTTCTTCAGGGGGTTGATCTCTATGTATTCCTTGCTGTGGTGGTGACCTGGGAGGGGTAGGAAAGGTCTGAGGGTACTACGACTCTGGGGAAGAGATGACCAGGTCTCCCAGAGGCAGAGATGCCTTTCTCCACTTTCTCTAGAAGGGGAAACACCACCAGGGGGATAGCGTGCATGGCTCACTTCAAGTTAAAAGGCAAATCCGTGGCAGAATCGGGATTAGGATCAAGACTCCTGCCCCCATCCCAGGCTCGGCGACCAGGACAGCCCATTGGCTCACAGAAGTTGGAGGCCCCAGCCCCCATTCCCAACGCTGGGCCTGAAGCCATCGCCTGTGAATCAGCAGAAGCCCTAGAAGCCTGGATCCCACTCCCACTACTTTAGCCCCAGCCCTAGCACACAGCTAGAATCCAAAAAGGAGCCCCTCACATATAATCAATTATCAGAGGACTTGTTTTATCTTGTTCTGTTTTGTTTTTAAGTAAGCTCTCCACTCAACAAGAGCTTGAACTCATGGCCAGCTCCAGAGATCAAGAGTCCACAAATCCTAGCAACTGAGCCAACCAGGCAACCCGATCTTTTGGGAGTTTTAACTCTTCCTCAACCAGCTGTCTCTGGTCAGAAACATTTCTGGGGCTGGATTCACGGCTCATTTCAGAGTGCCTGGCCTCCTCCTCTATGTTCTGGAGGCTTCTGCCTCTGCAGTGTGAGCCTTTAAGAACCTCTTCCATGCTTCGGGTAATGTTGGAGAGTAGTGCCCTGTACCTCACCCTGGGGCCTGTGTCACCCTGAGCAGGTATGAACGTGGAGGGAAAATGGGTGTGGCCTGAAGAGGTGGTCTTAACTCAGATTTGGATGGCCACGCACTTCTGCGACCTTTGCCAAATAATCCGAGGTCCTTTTACGAGGAAACGCCAAGGGCTCTAGATGGGAGACCCGGGGATGCCCAGCAGCTCTTCCTGCCACTTCACCTTATAAGAGCCTGTTCATGGGGCTCCTGGGTGACTCAGTCAGTTAGGTGTCTGACTCTTGGGTTTCAGCTCAGGTCACGAGCTCACGGTTTTGTGGGTTCGAGCCCCACATTGAACTCCACACTGGCAGTGTAGAGCCTGCTTGGGATTCTCTCTCTCTCCCTCTCTGTCCCTCCCCCATTCACATTGTCTTTGTCCCTCTCAAAATAAATAAATAAACTTTAAAAAAAAAAAAGGAACCTGTTTATCATAGCATGGCAGAATTAGTGACAGGGCTGGACAGCCCATGATTCCCTTGGGAAAAGTTTCTTCCCCTGTGAACTTTAAGGCGGGGAATCTCCTCTGTGTCTCAGCTTCTCAGAGACACTCTGACCTTGTACCCTGCCTCCCCGCCAAGGCCAGGCCTATGGCAGGCAGCATGGGGCACCTACCTTTTAGCAAATCCACAAACTGAAAGTCAAAGGGGATGCTGTTCTTCCTAGCGAAGATGTAGACAGCACGGCAGGCTGCTGAGAGCAGGTCCAGATAGAGCTCCAGGCCCATGTTGAGATACACGGTGGGCACCCCCACCAGCCACAGCCGGTAGGCTCTGAACCTGAGCCTGTATGCAGCCTGAGCCCCTGGCCCTGGCTCTGTGCCCGTCAGCGCTCTCCAGCCCAGGCCTAGGACCCCGCATTCTGGAACTTCTTGTTTCACTTGGTGTTGTCATGTGGCCTGGAAGCCCAGAATTCTCACAGCAGCAAGGATTCTGGGGAGACTCAGGAGTAGACTAGGGAGAGCCCCCTGGCTCAAGGGCAGGAGGTGGGGATCACCTACAATGGCCTCTTGGCCTATGTGTGTGCCTGTGGCCCATGTCTGAGAAGGACTGACACATGGGAATTCTCAGCACTAGAACTTTATTGCAGAGTATAACCCAAGGGGCTCTGCTGGGTCCAGAATGATGGTGGGGCAATGGGACGTAACCATGGAGGGCTTCAGAAGCAGGCGCTGGGGGTATGCAGAGGTCAGTCTAGCCTGAACTATGGCTAGAAAAGTGTTGAGAGACAGAGAGACAGGAGTCTAGGGAGTAGTCGGGGCCCTGGGGACAATGCCACAGGAGTATCTAGGGTGGGCCAGCCAAGCTGTGCCATGGAGAGAATCCCAGAAACTTCCGGTCTGGCTTGGGACGGGCAGTGGCCAGTGGAATTCAGAGCTGGCAACTCAGGAAGGTAACTGGAGGCCCGCGAGAACCCTGAGTGCTACTTCCTCTAGGCTGCATCATCTCAGGAGATCTCTTGTCCCTCCAGATTCTGCTCAGAAGCAGGGAGACCCCACTTGGTAAGGCAGAGGAAGCTGGAGACAGGTATAGGGCACACAGCATGTTTAGTGTGTGTGTGTGTGTGTGTGTGTGTGTGTGTGTGGAGGGAAGCCCGTTCCCCTCTCAGCTGAGCCGCTCCAGCAGCCGATGCACCAGCTCTTGTGCCAGCTGGGGGTCCCGCTGGGCGTCTCTGGGGTCCCGAGGCTGTAGAACAAGCTTGTGGGCTTCCTGGACGAGCTCAGGGCCCAGGGCAGCCTCTACTCGGGCTCGCCAGGCTGCCAGCCGGGGCCAGTCTCGGAAGAGGTCGCAGCCAACAGCAGTGGGCTGGGAAGACAGGGTAGCCGGAGCAGGGGACTCAGCCCTGTGCCCAGAGTCCCCCCCTGCCCGCCCCCACTGAGGGCAAGCAAGCAGGAGAAGCTTACCTGCATCAGCTCCGTGAATGCCATCAGATCGGCCAGGGAGACCTGCTCAGTGGCCAGGAAGGGCTTGGCTGCCAGGACCTCCTGATCCAGGTGCTGCAGGGCCGGTTTCAGCCTCCCCAACAGCCGGTCTAGCCGCATGGTGTCCACGGGCTGCCCCGAGAAGTGGGGCAGGAGGGACTGGCCGCAGGGGGAATGGAGGCAGCTTATCCTGGGTTCCTCCAAACATCCTCACCCACCTCTCCACCCCTCCCTGTGGCCACCATCCGTTAGTGATCCCTCCTGGGGCACTGTACTCTGAAGGATTCTGAGGATTCATTCAGACTCAGGGGAAAGAATGCTGTGGTCAGTTACAGATGTCTACCTGGGACAGTGGATAGGAGGCTGTATAAGGTCCTTTCCAGCCCTGGGGGTTCTGGCCGCTGCCCCAGCCTGCATAACAGGGCAGGGAGGCTCACCTTACACAGGTAGACGTTGGTGGCAGGCAGCTGGATGGCGGCGTGCTGCCACGCCAGGTACTCGTCGACGCAGGCGCGGGCCTTCAGTTCAGGTGGATACCAGTTCGGCGCCGTCTGGTACTTGCGTGTCAAGTATAAAAGGATGGCCACACTGCAAGCAGGGGTGTCAGAGAGTGCCCTGCCCCTCAGGGCTAGGCAGCTTCATCTCTCAGAAACAGGGTGATTTGACTGGATTTCTGTCCAACACCATCTCCGGGGGAGACCATCTCCACCACGGGCCATCTTGTCTCCAGTCACTCCCCCATGGACCCACATTTCCACTTCCCCTCCTGACTACTAACCCAGCCAGCCCTCTGCCTCCAGGCCCAGCTCTTTGGCATCGGGTCCTACCGAGCAGGAGGGAGGCAGACCTGCCACGGACATCTGGCCCATGGGGTCTCCAAGTTCCCTCCCAGGCCAGTGCTCCCTAGTGCCCAGGGTCTGGGGGAGGGGATCAAGGAGAACCCCTTTCTTGATCCTCCCTGGGCTCCTGGCACGCAATTTCTAAGTCAAATAATAAAAATGTAATGGCGACTAGAAAAGTTTTTATAGAAAAAGGTGGTGCCCAGTTTCCATTCTCAGGCAGGTCCTGGGAGGGGTTACATCACTACTCCCTTTTACAGAGGAGAAACATGCGGCAGGAAGTTCTGTGATCTGTCCGTGGCCCAGAGCGAGGATGTGGGGAGCTGGGATTCAGCACCCAGTGCACATCTGGGGCTGCCTAGCTCCTGGCTCTTGGGACTTGAAAGGCCAGGTTCGGGACATCTGGGGAGGGCTAACCTCAAGCTTGGGTCTTTCCTGGCTACATCCAGGTTGCCCAGGCCTGACAGAGTGACCTTTGCCCACCCCCATCCCCTATGCCGAAGCTACCAGCTTTAGCCCCAAAGCAGCCCCCTAGTCCAGCCCCCTGCCTCCAAGCTGGATGAGCTAAAAGGAGGAAGAAGGGACCACAGTAGTTTGGAAAGATCTCCGAGTGTGAGACCATCAGCTTTCTGCCGTCCTCTGTCCACCTCCCCCAACCTCAAAGCCTCCACAGACCCCAGGACTCCATTACCTCTCGGCCAACAGGAAGTCCCCATCCCTCAGGGCAGGTACCTTCCCCAGGGGGTTCACCTTCAAGAATTCAGGCTTCAGGTGCTCCCCTGTGGGGGTGCAGAGGATGGGTGGCTCAGCAAGTTCTGGCTCCAGGATGCCACCCCCCAACCCCCTCCCCGGGCCCACCCTAGCCAAGACTCACCCCGTCCTAGCTCTACTGGCCGAAACTCAAAGGGAATGCCATTCTTCCTGGCGAAAATGTAAATGGCACGGCAGGGGGGCGAGTACAGGTCCAGAAACAGCTCCAGCGGCATGCCTGCGCCGCCCAGTGTCGTCCTCCGCTCTCCACTCAAGCCTGCTTCCGGGGAGGTTTGCTTGGCCCCCCCAAAACGGGACACAAAGACGTCTGTTCCCCTCCCCCAAGCCAACTTCCTCTAGCTACTAGCTGGGCGCCCTGCCAAGCCTCCCCACCTCCTGGCCTCTCTGTGGAATGGGGGCCGAGTGGGCTGTTGAATATTTGTCACTGGTTCTTCAGAGCAGGGTCCCCAACCTGGCCCTCCCCCTTCACTGGGTGTTACAAGCCCCTGGACACCCCCACATCCTGCTGCTTCCCTCTGGCTGGGCCTCCCTCTGATCTCTGTCTGCCTCCTGGCAGCCAGGGAGGCTTTCACAATCCTGGTTAGGTAGGAGGCTCTCTGACAGAGACCCACTATTGGTCCTTAAGGCCTTTTGTGTCTTTCCTCCCACTGCTCCTGTGCCTCATGCACTCACACAGATTCATGCAAACTCACACGTAGTAACACACACACACACACACACACACACACAGAGTCTCTCTGTCTCTCTGTCACACACACACTTATATGTTCACATGCTCCCTCCCCCGCCCCCAGCCCAGGCCTCTTCTCTCTCCAGTCTGGGTAACTGTCCTGACATTCTGACATAGTAAAGGCATTTCTCTCTTGACTGTCCTCTGGTGCTCCCCACCCCCTGGGGCTCAGGCCAGCCCCCTGGAGTCTTCTGTCTCCTCACCCCGACCTGACCCCTCTGGCCTCACCAGCTTCCTGCCCAGCCCTTCTGCTTCCATCTTCCTGATACACACAGCACCAGAGGGGATTTCTCAAGTCCAAATCTGATCCCATGCCCCCAAGTGCCCTCAGCCCTGCAGTGCTGACCCCACACTCCCCAACCTTGTCCATTTGCCTCTCAGCCTTCCTCTTGGACTGTCACGCACACTTCTTTTCTGTCAGAACCCAAGTCTTGAGACATTGAGGGTGGGGTGTGGGGCAGGGCCTCCATGAACCCAGAGAACAGCTGTGGGTGGGTTGGGAGTTGGGGTCTTGCATGCACATTTGCCCATGCCAGTGGGGGGACTCATGGAGCAGGGAGCAAGCCAGAGAAGCCCCCTGGGAATGGAGCCGGGGCCTCCCAGGAGCTGCCCCAGCCCCATTCTGGGACCTGAGGAGGTCAGAGCCACTGACCATGCAAGGGAACTCTAATGTCTTCCCCACTGTTTTCATAGGAGCTGAAATCTGCCAGGGAGGACTTTTAGGGACACAGTCCACCCCTTACAAACACACATACTCACAGGACATGTGGCTTGGGCAGAGCTGACCCCACCCTTAGTTTCAAGGATAGTTCATGACCCAGCCCACCCAGTGAAGACACTGTATCCCTTGACCACTCTGCTCGGATCAGGCAGGGTCCTAGGGCTCTGACAGGGGTTCCCAGGAAGGAGGGACTGAGAGGAGGCCCAAAGCTGACCCCTGCAGAAGTGCATTGTCATTCCCAAGGAGAGTCCCTGAAGGCCATTGTCTGCAGAAGGAACACAGCTGTCTCAGACTCTTCCCCAGTGGAGAAGGAGGGCGAGGGCCGGGCAGCCTCCAGGAGTTAGGCTGTCCAAAGCCAGCCATCCTGGAGCCCAGGCAGAAGGGATTGAAGCCAGGCAGTCCCAGCAAAGCCAGCAGCCATCCAGCAAGTCTGTAGATGGGAGACTGGGCTCAGACTTGGCATGCCCAGAGCCATCAGGGAGCCCTGGGGCCTGTAATCCAACCCTGCACAGAAAACCCCAGCTGGGTTTACCAAATTGGATAGGGGCCACAGCCCTGCAGTGAAGGGGAGGCACAAGAGAGGGGAGGAATAGACAGAGAGAATAACCTGGAATCAAGGTGGGGAGACAGAGATAGGGAGGAGGGCAGCAAGGAACTCTCATTCACTCATTCATTACTCATTTGCTCATTCATTCCTTCATCCAACAGAGAGTGAGACTCAGAGACAAACCAAAAGCAGTGGAGGGAGAAGGCCAAGGATAGGTGACCAGAGAGGAGTCTTTCTTACTTCTCCCAGCCCTCCACACGAACCTATGATGTAACTCTGGTGGGGTCCCCGGGAGGGACTTGCCCCAGAAAGGGGCCTTGGCACAACTCTGCACCCAGAGGGTGTGGCCTTGGCACAACCCTGCACCCAGAAAGCCTCCATTAACTCCTGCTGTGCCACCAGCCGTGACCGGTCTTCCCAGCACAACACTCCAGACCCACATGGGTCATTGGGCTCATGGACGGGCCAGTGCCAAGGCTTTGATTCTGAGGACACGGGTCCAAGAGGCAGGGATAGCCATGCCACTGACCCCACCTGAGGCCCAAGGGCAGCCACAGGACCTGAGAGAAGCCAGGGAGGTACCCCAACATCTGCCAAACAGAGATGGCACCCCTGGCATCCCCAGGCAGGGTCAGTGGAGGGAGGCTGCCCTTCTGGTCTGAGCCCATGCCAGCACCAGTAGCTCCTTCAGCACCATAAAGTCAACTAGTGTCACCTGGGGACGGGAAATGAAAGCCATGCCCCTCCGGAACTTGTCTGGCTCTGTTCCTGCCCAGCTTCTCCCTGGGCACCTGCCTACAGATGAGCAGAATCAGCATGTGTCAGGTGGGTGGAGGGTGGGCTCTGTCTGCAGCCCACACCTCACAACACCTTGGCCTTGCCCACACCTGTCATACTCCCTCATCACCCATCTCTCCTGGGTCCACACAGGCATGCCCAGGGTGCCCTGGACACAGTCATCATGACTGCTTGGGCACTCATTCATGCGGGCATGGGCCTACAGGTGGGATGGCACTGGTGGGCCCCTCTCTGGTATTTGCAGGTGGGTGGTAGGTGGGGGCAGTGGCCTTGGGGACCCTGACACCTAGCCATTCCCACCTTCCTCAAAAGCTTACAGGCCTCTGGCAGAATAAGTCTCTGCCATTGATAGATTCCCCCTTCATCCTGCCCTCCACCCAGCTCTCCCTACTCACTCCACCAAGTAAGGCCCTGCCCCCCACCCCCCAGCTGGTCACATACCTGGGCAATAGCAGTTTCTGGGAGCTAACACCCCGTCCTCAGCATGGCTCAAGAGTCCATGCTCATTTTGCCATGTTGACCTTGGTCTCCCAGGATGCCCTTCACCACACCCAGCTGCTGGAGAGTCCCAATCACACTCAACCTTCCTGCTTCCAGCATTAGCTCAGGCCCTTCCCTCTGCCAAGACCAATTCAGGATTTAAGTCACTTCCAGGAGTCTCTTCCGTCTCTCCTCCTGGCAGGCCACCTGGGTATCCTGCTGCTCCCTCCTACGATGGTGCCCAGCATGGCTAGTTCAGTTGTGGCCACCCTCCCGGACATAGCTGTCATTTACACTGAACTCACAGTGACTGTTTGACTAAACTTTATTGTTTGTTTACCTCTTATACTTTATTGCAGTGTCTATTGAAAGAAAAAACCATCCAATTGTTTGAACAACAAAGTAGCTGGTGTGGATCTAGAAGGCACAGGCTGCCTCCATCCTCAATGCTCTGGGGGAAGATGGAAAAGTCCCAGGAAAGCAAACAAGTATGAAGGGTGTCTGAAAGTGAAGCCATCAGAACAGGGTCTAAAGGGGAAGACACCCACCGGAGCCCCCAGGGCAGGACAGATGTGACATGGGAGCTAGTCTGGGTTCAGGCTGGGAATGACACAGATGGACCAAGAAGCGGCTCCAAGGCCCAAGGAAAGGGGCTCAGATCCCGAGGTTAAGGACCCCATTTATTGGTTGGCAGTGACATCTACTGTCACATCTAAGGAGTGCAGCCACATGAGCCACATGGCCTCCATCTGTGGCAGGGAAAAGAGGGGCCTTGGGAGAAAACTAATCACTCACTCGAAAACAAATATTGGCAACTGGAACTGTAAGACACCTGAAAGTGTTGTGTACTTTGACGAGGTCTGTTTCTGTTACATAATTGCAATTTCCTAAAAGTTTTGTGTTCAGTCACGTGGTTGGTGATGAGAAGCCCTTGATTACAAAACAGGATGGTCGGCTTTGCGATGATTAAAGACACTGTGTTCTTTCCTTCCTGAGATACCGGTAAGATGCTAGTGAAACCGGTCACCAAAGGGTTAACAAGGTAGGTAGTGCAGTTCAAATCTTTCCTTCAAATCTACTTCTCTGCCACCTTGTTTCTGTAAGAAAATATTCATGCTCGATGCCATGATAGCCAACTGTGAATTTTGTTGTTTTGCAGGAGACCAAGGTTTCATAAAGAAGCCAGCCAGGAGGGCACCTGGGTGGCTCAGTTGGTTAAGTGACTGGTTAAGTATCAACTTAAGTTGGTTAAGTATCAGGTCATGATATTGCGATTCATGAGTTCAAGCCCAATGTCAGGCTCTGTGCTGACAGCTCAGAGCCTGGAGCCTGCTTTGGATTCTGTGTCTCCCTCTCTCTCTCTGCCCCTTCCCTACTGGTGCTTTCTCTCTCTCTCTCTCTCTCTCTCTCAATAAATAAATAAATAAATCTTTTATTTTTTAATGTTTTATTTATTTCTGAGAGAGAGAGGCAGCATGAGCAGGGGAGGGTCAGAGAGAGAGGGAGACACAGAATCAGAAGCAGGCTCCAGGCTCCAAACCAGCTGTCAGCACAGAGCCTGACATGGGGCTCGAACCCACAAACCATGAGATTATGACCTGAGCCAAAGTCGGAGGCCCAACCAACTGAGCCACCCAGGCGCCCATAAATAAACCTTTAAAAAAAATCCCTGAGGCATCTGGGTGGCTTAGTCGATTAAGGATCTGACTCTTTTTTTTTTTTTTTTTAATGTTTTTTATTTATTTCTAGGAGAGAGAGAGAGAGACAGCGTGAGCAGGGGAGGGTCAGAGAGAGAGGGAGTCACAGACTGAAACAGGCTCCAGGCTCTGAGCTGGCAGTCAGCACAGAGCCCGACGCGGGGCTCGAACCCACGAATCGTGAGATCATGACCTAAGCGAAAGTCGGACGCTTAACCGACTAAGCCACCCAGGCGCCCCAAGGATCTGACTCTTGATTTGGGCTCTGGTCATGATCTCATGGTTTGCGAGATCGAGTTGGGATCTCGTGCTGACACTGCAGAGCTTGCTTGGGATTCCCTCTTCCTCTCTCTCTCTGCAATCCTCTCAAAATAAATAAACTGTAAAAAAATTTTTTTTGAAAATAGCATGTGATAGCAGAATCAGATCTATAAATACAGAGGACAAACTATTGGGCCCTAGAGAGAAGAGCGGGTGAGGGGATTGGGAAAATAGGTAAAGGGGAGTGGAGGTATGGAATGAATAAGTCAAGGGGATGAATGGTACAGCATATACAGTCAATGATATTGTAATAGCATAGAATGGTGACAGATGGTACCTACATTTGTGAGCATAGCATAATGTATAGAGTGATCAAATCACTATGCTGTACACCTGAAACTGGTGTAATTATGTCCATTAAAAAGTTTTTTAATAAATAATTTTTAAAAATCATTCCATTTCAAAAAAATAGATACATGAAGCCCTTACCCAGCAATGCTATTTGTGGGAGTGTTCCACAGTTGTATTCAGCAGTAACCCATGAGGGCACTGGTACTAATAGTCACAGATTACTGGTCCATTAGCAGGAACTGGGGGACCATGTTCTGGTCCATGGGTGCAGTGGCTGTTGTGCACTGTAGTAACCTACACTTTACTCAGTGACTCAGTGAGGTCATACATGCAATGTACTCAGAGCTGGGCCTGGCCCATTAGAAGCATACTATACAGGGGCAGCTGGATGGTTCAGTTAGTTAAGCATAGGACTTCGGCTCAGGTCATGATCTCACGGTCCATGAGTTCAAACCCCACATCAGGCTCTCTGCTGTCAGCGCAGAGCCTGCTTCAGATCCTCTGTCCCTCTCTTTTTCTGCCCCTCTCTTAACTTACATTTGATCTTTCTCCTTCTCTCAAAATTAAACATTAAAAAAAAAGACTTAAAAAAAAAAAGAAGCGGGGCACCCGGGTGGCTTAGTCGGTTGAGCGTCCGACTTTCGCTTGGGTCATGATCTCACGGTTCGTGGGTTCGAGCCCCGCGTCGGGCTCTGTGCTGACTGCCAGCTCAGAGCCTGGAGCCTGTTTCAGAGTCTGTATCTCCCTCTCTCTCTGACCCTCCCCTGCTCACCCTGTGTGTGTGTCTCTCTCTCTGCTAGAAATAAATAAAACATTTAAAAAAAAAAAAAAAAAAGAAGCATACAATAGAATCAGCTGCCCCAGTAGCTGTATCAAAATGTATCAAAATACTTCTCAATAGCTAGCGTCTCCCTGACACCAGTGTCTTCTTGCCCATCACACCAACTGTTTTACCATCACCACTTCACTGCTATTTTCTTAGTCAAATACAATAACAAATCTTTCCCCACAGGAAAGGATCCCACAGAATGATGGCAACACCCAAAAAAGATTTTATTTCTAAGTAATCTCTACACTCAATGTGGGGCTCAGACTTACAACCCTGAGATCAAGAATCACATGCTCTACCCACTGAGCCAGCCAGGTACCCCAATAATCTATACTTTGAACCCAAAGATACAGGGTGGTGAAAAGTATGTTTTAAGAATCAGTCCAGATGTGAGTTTTTTCTCAAGCAATCTCACTGAAACCATATAATAGGATATATTATAAACCATATATATTATATTATATATATATACCATATATTATAAACCATATAATAGGATACGTTTTTATTTGAGTGAGTCTATATAATCATTTTCTAGAAAGTATCACTATCTGTACTAATGTAAAAATAAATGAATAGGGATGCCTGGGTGGCTCAGTGGGTTAAGTGTCTGAATCTTGATTTTGGCTCAGGCCATGATCTTACAGTGGGTAGGTCTGAGACCTATATGGGGTTCTGCGCTGATAGCCTGCTTGTGATTCTCTCTCCCTCTCTCTGTCCCTCCTTCTCTTTCAAAAATAAACATAAAATGTTTTATTTATTTATTTACCTACTTATTTAAAACACCATACTGGCAAGGCTTGGGACCTGCCTGCTATGGACTAGATGTTTGAGTTCACTTCTCCTCCAAATTCATATGATGAAATCCTAACCCCCAAGGGGATGGTATGAATCCCTTGTGAATGAGATTAATGAGACTCCAGGGAACTCTCTAGCCCCTTCTACCACATGAGGACATGGAGAGAAGACAGTCATTTACGAACCAGGAAGCAGGCTCTCATCAAATACTGTATCTACTGGCATCTTGATCTTGTGCTTCCCAACCTCCAGAAGTGTTGAGAAATAAATGTTTGTCACTTAAGCCACCCGGTCTCTGGTATTTTTGTTATAGCAACCCAAGCAGTCTGACACTGCCCAACATTCACAGGGAGGAGGCATGGAGTGGTGGCTCTGTTCTGACATGACTGACTTCCCTCTGGGGAAGGGAGCCTGCCAGGCACAGATAGAAGAGATCCCAAAAGCTCTGGGCTCCAAGAGGAAGGTGGGGGTAAGGAGAGGGACCTTGGGAGGAGGGGAACCTTGGAGCACTACTGCTGAGTCCGGCTTGGAGGGGATGCCATTCCACCTGGTGAAGATGTGATGGGGCAGCAGTCCTGGGACAGCAGGTGCAGGTAGGGTGCCAGGTCCACAGTGGGGCGGGACACTGTGACCAGCATGGAAGTCTGAGGACAAGCGTGACTGGGGCCAATGAGAGGCCATCTCATACCCACTATTGGGGATCCACCAGGAGGGCAGCTGGAGGCTGACTTTTTCACCACCTGGCAGGACACGTCAAAATGAGGGTACAGGAAACTGACAAATCAAAACTGAAAAACAGCCACAAGCCCCAGGATTAGGAGACAGTTCCAGGAAATAAAGAAGTGCCAGACCATCAGCTAAAGCTAATCCACATGGTGGACTTGAAGACGGAAGTCTCCCACCTGGCTTGGGGCTTTGTTTCAAGCCACCCTTCCATCACTGTCAGGGATGTCATCACAGTTAGTGGGGGGGGGGGGCGGGCAACACCTGGGGTTTAGCCCATTGCTTCTTACCCAGTATTCTAGATGTCAGTATGGTCCTGGGCCAATGTCTTCTTATCTTCTGTTTGGTTGAACTCCCACATAAAAAGCACACCTCGCTTTTGTTAGGTAGCTCAGGAGAGGTGCACATTTTCTGACATTTTCTACCTTCCCACAAGAGTGCTATTTTGGCTGGGTATAAAATTTTATGTGGGGAGACCTGTTTTCCTCAGAATTGTTTTTCTCTTCTAGCACTCCTGTTCAAATAGTGAAGACATCTTGATTCCCAGGCAGAAATGGCCACAGGGATGCAGTTGACCACCAACTTCTCCAACAGAGGTTTTTTAGATCATGCCCTACACCATGGGGTATTAGACACGGTATTATGCCCTGCCCTGAAAATACTGATATCATGAACTGAGTAGGAGGCTAGAGGAGGTCAAAGGTTATGGACACTGTCAACATCCCCACACCAACAGGTCTTTGCCCTGGTAGCAGTGATTCTCCCATAACTCGGTTGAACTCTTTGCAGTCTTCCAACACAGTACTCTTAGGACCAGTGTTTCCATTCACCCTGAGAGATACCAGAACCCTCCATCTGGTGTCCCTTCCCCAAGGTCTGATCTCAGCCCCATGCGGCCCCCTTTGGGGTTCTGGAGGCAGCAGCACCCTCCTCAGAGACCTGAGTTCCACCCTTCATTCAGCATCAGGATTTTAATAATTCCAATTTCCTCCCTTGGTCCCCCAGCCCTAGGGTTAGTCTGGGATAATGTGGGTTTTCTTTGCCAGTAGAGTTCTATCATGCCTGGTGACCAATTCTTTATATTCCGTTCTCTCTGTTAAAGTAACTGGCATGGGCTCAGTCATACAAATACACCCAGCTGATATACATGGTAGCTTGTGTGACAGTCTATAACCCCACTGTTTGCTATTACACTGAAACTGCTGGAAGACAGGAGTGCTTGTTAAGTCTTTTAAGTTTCCCAGACTTCAAAAATCATTACCATATCCCATGAAACACCGTCGTATCCTTTAGTAGTTTGCAATTCTCATTGATTTCTTAATATTTTGTTGCCCTGGTAACAACGTTATATTGACTTGTTATCTGCAAGGTTCCTTTGGTTAACTGTGATGGGGGTTACTGGAACATACTTTTATTCCATACATACAATACGACAGTGTAATAAAACCAATAAATCTGGAGCTTGGGTGGCTCAGTTGGTTAAGCATCCAACTCTTGGTCTCAGCTCAGATCTTGATCTCAAGGTCATGAGTTCAAGTCCCATGTTGGGCTCCACACTGAGCACAGAGCCTACTTAAAAAAATAAATAAATAATAAATAAACAGAAAAAAACAATAATTTTTGTGTCCTTATTCAAGTGTTGGAGCCTTTATTATTTTTAAAAGACCAATGGCATTTGCTGATTTTTAGTTGATTTGTTTCTCTTCACGTTATTGAATGTTCAGAGCTTTTTATATATGTAATAATCTTCTATTGACTATTATATCTTCTGCACCTGAGAAGAAGCACTACCAAGGACATAAGGTATCCTGCCTGTGCAGAGCTCCTCCTGGAGTCAGAAACAGGAGGCTGAGGCAAGATGGAAAAGATGAAAAAGGACAAGTAAGAAACTAAGGATGACTCTTTATTGCTAATCTCCTGGACTCCAGCCATCAGTCCCTATTCCAGACTCCTCAGGGGATCCTGGAAATACGAAATAGCATATATGGGTAGATTTCTGGTGGGGGTGGTGGGACTGTTTTGTTGGCCACCTGCTTCAGGATGTTCAAGATGGGGCCATGGGTCTCCTGGCACAGATCAGTACCCAAGAAAGCCTCCACTCGTTCACGCCATGCTGCCAGTTTTGGCCGTCCCTCAAACAGGTCACACCCAAGAGCTATAGGCTGTGGGGACAATGATGGGAAAGTTAAAGTGATACTGAGACCCCAATGTCAGGCCCCTTCCCCAACTCCCACATGAGGCCCAGGGCAGTGCCCCCAAGAGCACCAGCCCAAAATAGCACATACAGGAGGGAAGCAGGAGGTCAGGGCTCCAGCACCAGTTCAAAGAGAAACTTGCTCTGTATTTCTGGGCAAATTCCTAGCTTTCTATATGCTTCAGTATTTCTGTCTGTCTAATGGGCATGGTGATAGGAAGAATGCTGCCTATAGATGCTCCTTCATTGGCCCAGCTGGTACCTGCATCAGCTCCTCCAGTGCCATGAGGTCGGCCAGCGTCACCTGCTGGCTGTTGAGGAAGGCCCAGTCCCCCAGGAACTTGTCCTCCAGCTGCTGCAGTGCCCGGGCCATGGCAGCCTTGTTGCGTTCCACCTTCTCCTCAGTCACACAGACTCCAATGAGTGGTGCCAACACCTGATGGAGGCAAAGGGTGGGCTCAGGCTGTAGTCCCTGTCTGCTCCCAGGTCCCCGCTCGCTCCCCTCACCTGAGTCCACAAGGGCACGCCAAAGGTGCCACAGATGCAGTCAGCATGCCAGCCCAGGTACTCGTGGACGCGAGCACGGGCCCGGAGTTCAGATGGGTACTAGTGGTCTGCCGTCTGGTACCGAGAGCTCAAGTAAATCAAGATGGCGGTGCTGGAGTTAAGGGCAAGAGCAGTGGCTGTGAGGATCTTGGTTCATGGCCTCTGCTCCAGCTGCTCCCATCCCTCAGTGGAGTTCTGGGGCTTCTCTGTACTTGCTGGCCTCCACTCCCATCTGCAGCTCCCCGGGCACTACCTCGTCCATCTCCCCTGACTGTCCCCTCCAGAGTTCCCTCCTTCCTTTGCTATCTCAAGCACAGAATCTGGGCTAGACCCTCTGCTTTGTGCTTTGAAAGCCTCATCTCTGTGATATCACAGCAGCTTCCCTATGAGCTGGAGACTTGTCATCCCATTTGCACATGAGAAAACGAAGGTTCAGAATAAGTGAGTGCCTTGACCAAGGTTGCACAGCTCAGAAAACGCTCTCTGGGCCTCTGGAATCTTGCATCAAGTCTAAGTGCATGGGTTGGGGACCAGGAGGGGAAACATGTCCTCAAATATGCCGTGGGTCCATTCTGGCAGGTCCTCTGGCCATCCCTCCTGTAGCCACCTGACTTCTTGTCCTCTATCTGCCTGGTGGCTGGTCCTCACCATGGGTTGTGACTCTGGAGAGTAGCCTGGGGAGTCAGGAGAGGCCCTTTCTGCCTCCATTTGTTGAACCTGCTCTCCGTGCAACACTGGATACATGTTCCCATGTTCCCTTTCAAATTTTTTAAATATTTATTTATTTTTGAGAGAGGGAGAGAGAGCAAGTGAGCACGGGCAGGGGAGGGGCAGAATGAGAGGGAGACAGAGGATCTGAAGCAGGCTTTGCACTGACAGCACCGGAGCCTGATGCAGCACCTGAACCTGCGAACCATGAGATCATGACCTGAGTCAAAGTCGGATGCTTAATCCACTGAGCCACCCAGGTGCCCCCACGTTCTCTTCTAGTAATCCTCAGTCTGGGGAAGGAGAGGCTCTGGGTCCAGAAGGGAGGACGAAGGCAAAAGAGGTACAGAGGTATGCTGCATCAGCCCCGCCCTCCTGACCACCTCCTCCCCAGCTGTCAGCTCTCACCACACCCCTCGCTTTCACCCTCACCTGCCCTGAGGTCTGAGAGGGCACACAGTGGGAGAGCCTGAGGCTAGGTGGGCTGGGGGCTTAGGAGGAGGGACGGAAGGACAGCACCTTTCACTCAAGACGAAGTCACCATCCTTGAGGATGGGTATCTTCTGCAGGATGTTAAGCTGGGTGAACTCCTTGCTCACGAGGTACCCTGCAGAGGAAGAAGTTTAAAAAAAGCCCTTCAGAGCAAGAACCACACCCACTGTGCCCTGTCTTTCCCTTCCCCAGCCAGAACCCTGGGGGCCAGGCTGGGCTGAGAAACAGGTGTCTCTGGAGAGGGCTGTGTTAAGCCATGGCTGGGCCTTGGGACCAGGAATAGGGATGGCCTCCCTGCCCTGCCACCTCCCAGGGCGGCTGAGGGTTTTCAGTGGATGCAGCCCAGTGCAACAGATAGATGAAGAGGAGTTATTTGGCCAGGACTGGGGTGGGCAGGGGGAAGGGAGGCAGAGGGGAGGCTCAGCAATTCCCACCTCAAAATTCTCACACTGGGGCCATGCCCCCAGGGTCTGTAGGGCTTTTTGACTTTAAATACAGGCTTTCAAGACGGAACTCTGAAAATGCAGTTCAGTACTTTCTCCCCTGCACACGATATAGAAATAACACTATCCTCCTTCTCGAAGGGGAAAGCTAAGGTTCAGAGAGGGACTGTGGCCTGTCCAAGGCCACACAGCAGAGGGCAGTCTCTGGTGGGAGACACTGATGAGGAGAACAGAGGCAAAAGAAATGTGGATAAAATGAAATTTCCTTACAACTTTCAGCCTTTTGATAAATACCAGACAGGCTGGGTGTGACTTTCCTCAAAGAATTCACAACTGCCTTAATTAATGTTAGTGCTTTCTAGAGGCAAAAAGCAACCTTAGCTTGACGATAGCCAGACCTCCAGGATCCTGTAAGTCTTCTGTAACATACAGAAATCCCTTCAGAGACTTCCTTTGTCTCTACCTGCCTCTCTCCCACCCAATTCCAAAATATATAATCAGTTGCACCTCATGGTCCCAGTGCAGCTCTTTCTCCCTACCGTCTTGTCTCCTGTCTCTGTGCCATAATAAAAGCACCTTTTTGCACCAAAAACATCTCAAGAATTCTTTCTTGACTTGCCTCACTGGCCCCAACAAAGGCTTGCCTTTTGGCTGGAAGTTAGTACCTTGACCGGAAGGGTAATAAGACCCAGAAACGTGGTGCTCTGTCTGTATTCTTATTCTTTTTTTTTTTTTTTAATATTTTTTTATTTATTTCTAGGAGAGAGAGAGACAGCGTAAGCAGGGGAGGGTCAGAGAGAGAGGGAGTCACAGACTCTGAAACAGGCTCCAGGCTCTGAGCCGGCAGTCAGAACAGAGCCTGACGCGGGGCTCGAACCCACGAACCGCGAGATCATGACCTAAGTGAAAGTCGGACGCTTAACCAACTAGGCCACCCAGGCGCCCCTGTATTCTTATTCTTATACAAAGCTGCCTTTCTTGGGCACAGGATAGCCACTTAAGTCAATGGGACAGCTGTCAATCATAAGACTCCCATGTGAGGTTTCCTCCTCACTGGTCCAGTGTGACCCTCTCCACATCTCTGGTCTAGTCACTTCTAGCCAAGAGACCTCCGCTCAGAGCCAGCCAAAACCAGAACCAGGTTGAATTAAAACCCAACAAGGACTGTTTCCTGGGGAAGTTGGCAATAAAGACTACATGTGTTGGGATGTCGCTTAGATGATGATGGATTTCTGTCTTTACTGTTGTTCATCAATGTCCCCTACTAACTACTTAAATTGTAACATTAGGTAATTTCCTTCCTGCAAATTCTTAGCATTTCATGGTTAAAACAGCAGGGTCTCTTCATCCATCTACTTGCACCTATTGCGTTCATATTGTGTCCAGAAAAACAATATGGAAGTGAACGGAGGTTGACATCCCTTCAGTAAAAAAGTCAGTACTCAACATGGCTTTTTGAGGGATGCCTCTGGTTGCTTTGAACACTAGGAACCCTTGATATGATCCTGAGTGGGGCGCCACCTAGGAGTCGGTGGGGAGGGCGATATAGTAATGGACTTTTCCACTTTTATAGGACCATGGGATCTTCCCTTCAGTCCCTAAGGACTCCCCTTTGGGGTATCTCTTAACCCATTGGAACCAATTTGGATTGCAAGATTTAAAGAAGAAAAGACTCCACTTCTTCTGTAATAATGCATGGGCTCAGTACTCCCTAGGAGATGAGGAAAAATGGTCCATAAATGCAGCAATAAACTTCAATACTATACACCAACTAGATATCTTCAGCAGGAAACAAGGCAAATGGACCAAAGTGCCCTATGTCCAGGCCTTCATGGCCATAAATCAAGATCGTAATGTAAAGGCTTCTTACAGAATGTGTTTCGCCACCGAGCAGGTTAATAACCACCACCACCACCCCCCACCCCGGACATATTGGATGATGAGTGTCTGGATAGGTTCCCTCCTTCTAACAAACATGGGCTACTAGAGGAATCATCATTTAGTTCAAACAAAGGGGTCATTGGCTCTGTTACCATCCCTCCTTACAAGCCCCAAGACCTTTTTGCGCCCAGCCTGGCTCGACATACCAGGAGCGGAACCCCCATCTTCCAGGAGCTCCTCTTAAATCTGGACTATATCACTATAGAGAGGCTGGTAATGGAGAAGTGGGCACAATTAGAGTCCCTGTCCCATTCTCCATGGCAGACCTAGCTCAGATGAAATAATTAGGATGATATTCTGAAAATCCTTTTCAATTTATTGAGGATTTTCAACAATTATCTATTATGTTTGATTTGACCTGGCAAGATATTTATGTCATATTAACTCATTCTTGTACCCATGAGGAAAAGAACCCTATCAGGTCAGGGGCTCAAGAATTTGCTGATGAACTAGCAGCCAGAGACAGAGATCGTTATGCAGTAGGGGGCGCTGCTGTCCCAAATACCGGACCACATTGGAATGATGCAGCCAGGGAAAGGGAAAGAGGAAACAGTAAGATCACTTGTTTAATTGAAGGAATGAAAAAAGATTCTAGACCTGGAAGCTTTGTTAAAATTCAGGAAGTTCCTCAAGTTGCTGATGAAAATCCAGCTCTATTCCAGGGCGGTTTGGTAGCAGCCATCAGTAAAATATACAAATCTAGACCCAACATCGCCTGAGGGAAAAACTATATTAAACATGTATTTTATATATCAATCATCGCCAACCTGCACTGAAAGTAGACTAAAATGGTTTGGGCCCGCAAACCCCCACCCAGCACCTACCAGAGGTGGCTACTGGAGTTTCTATTCACTTATTTTTACTTTTTTTTTTTTTTAACCAGGCTCCATTCCCTGTGTGGGGCTTTGAACTCATGACCCTAAGATTAAGAGTCACCAACTGAGCAAGACACGCACCCCCTGGAATTTTTTTTTAAGCTTATTTGAGCCTGTGAGGGCTTGAACTCACAAACCACAAGACCATGACCTGAGCCGAAGTCCAACGCTTAACTGACTGAGCCACCCAGGCACCACGTCACCCCCTGGAGTTTTTCATAATAGAGATGAGGTGATTTTTGTTAATGTTTATTTATTTAGAGAGAGAGAGAGAGGGAGATAGAGAATCCAAAGTAGGCAACACTCTCAGCACGAACCCGACACGGGGCTTGATCTCATAACTGTGAGATCACAACCTGAGTTGAAATCAAGTCAGACACCTAGCCAACTGAGCCCCTCTGGCACCCCTTAGAGACAGGGTTTTAAGACAGGAAAAGGACCAGAAAGCTAAACTGCAGGGTAAAATACAAGCCTAATATCAGCTATCACTACTGTGGATTCCCCCCAATGCCAGACTAATCAGAGGCCAGAGAAAAAGCTTGTATCAGAGAAAGGACCAGGTAGGACCTCATGCTATAGGTGTGGCCAGATCAGACTTTGGTGCAAGGAAACATTCGGAAAATGTCCAAGCAAACATTGTCCACCACGGCCATGTCCTGTCTGTGGGAAAGAAAGACACTGGAAGAGAGACTGTTCTCATCTCCAGAGAGAGAAAAGCAGAGACTCCCTTCCCCTTGGAGAGCAGGAACCAGAGGGTCTGGTATGACGGGCCCTGAGGGTGGCCTGGCTCCCTTTGACATCAGGGTGACTGAGCCCCCGGCTGCCCAGGGTGTGGAAGATAAGCTTATCAATTTCCTTATTGATACAGGAGCCACTTACTCTGTTCTTACTCGGCCGTATTTGTATTTCTAAACACAAAATTGTTGGCATAAAGAGGGAAACAAAAACATGTAGTCAGACAATGCCTTTAACCTGAAAACACAAAAGTCAGTTGTTAGTCATGTTTTTCCATTCCTTCTGTCTTGCCCCACTCCACTACTTGGACGAGACTTAATATACACACTAGGGAGCAGGTTTGTTCTTAGGAGGATGGCCTGGAGAATTAAAACCTTACCCTGATATCCCTTCTAATATTTGGAAGGAAGTAAATGCACAGGTCTGGGATTGCAATGTCCAGGACAGGCTCTTAAAACCCAGCCAGTTAAAGTGGCCTTAAGAGAGGGTGCCTCGGGGGGCGCCTGGGTGGCTTAGTCGGTTAAGCGTCCGACTTTTGCCTAGGTCATGATCTCGCGGTTCGTGGGTTCGGGCCCCGCGTCAGGCTCTGTGCTGACTGCCAGCTCAGAGCCTGGAGCCTGTTTCAGTCTGTGACTCCCTCTCTCTCTGACCTTCCCCTGCTCACGCTGTCTCTCTCTCTCTCTGCTAGAAATAAATAAAACATTAAAAAAAAAGAGAGAGAGAGAGAGGGTGCCTGGGTGCAATAAAGCTGGCTTACAACCATTTATTGATAAGTTTCTCAAACATGGTATTTTAAGGCCTTGTCAATCTCCTTATAATACTCCAATTTTACCAGCAAAAAACCCAATGGGGACTGTCGAACGATGCAAGACTTAAGAGCCTTTATAAGTGAGGCAGTTGTAGCTATCCTTTCCATAATATCAAATCTATATACTGTTCTCACCCAGGTCCCTGGAGATGCTAACTGGTTTCCGGTTCTTTGATTTAAAAGACCTCTTCTTGGGGCACTGAGGTGGCTCAGCTGTTTAAGAGTACAGCTCTTGATCTCAGCTTCAGGTCATGATCTCATGGTTAGTGAGACCCAGCGCTGCCTTGGGCTCTGTGCTGGCAGAACAGAGCCT